GGCGGCCCGCAGCCGCCGCTCGCGCTGCCGCCGCCGCCGCCGCCGCCGCTGCCGCTGCCCCCGCCGCCGGCCGACGAGCAGCCCGAACCTCGGACGCGGCGCAGGGCCTATCTGTGGTGCAAGGAGTTCCTGCCCGGTGCCTGGCGGGGCCTTCGCGAGGACCAGTTCCACATCAGTGTCATCAGGTCGGTGGCGGCGCCCCCCCCCCCCCGGGGGGGGGGGGCGGGGGGGAGGGGGGGGGCCGCTACCCGGTCAGGTGACGCTGGCCGGGCGGGGGCGGGGCCTGCGGACGCTGCCGGGGGCTGAAGACCCCTTTCCCCGCACCGCGGGAAATCCCAGCGGGACTCCGCGGCCCTGGCCCCGCGGTCTCACAGGACCTTCCGGAAGAAGGTCTGTTGAAAAAAAAAAAGAAAAAAATACCGGTTTCACGGGAAAACAGGTCTCCTGTAGGCAGAACAATGCCGTTGAATCACAAAGTGCGTTTTGTCCAGAAGCTTAAAAAATTTGGCTGGGAAGTCCCTTTGCGGTTTTAGGGCCTTGAATGCGGAGGGGTGGCCTGATTGGCTTTAAAAAAAGTCACCTGATAAGTTTGCTTCTAGTTCCTCGAGTCCGTGGTTTGCTTTTCTCCCCGCTCGGAAAGAGGCGTTTGTTAGTGTCCGAGGGGTGACGTCCGCTCATCCTGGCTAACGCTGCTCAGTCGTAGGGGTGTGTTAGCGGTCAGAGCTTAGGAGGTGTGGCTCCAAAAATTACGACCAAGGGAGGAAGGTTCCCCCCCTTTCCCCCCCCTTTTTTAAGCTAAAAATATTTAGTCATAAATTTAAAGGACAAAAAAATGTGTGTGTGTGTGTGTGTGTGTGTTCAGACTGAACGGGAAAAGACTCCCTTGATTTCTGTTGCCGTTCTGCCCCCACGAGATAGCTATTGAACAGTTAGTGTCCTTCTAAATGGACCTTGGAAAATGTTTCTTTCTCGCAGCTTTTCTTTTAACTGGTTGACCAGGTTGAGTGTCATATCTAGAAACTGGCTGTCTGCCACTGATAATCCCCAAATCCAACTGTAGTCATTTGATTGCTTTTCCGTGCCTAGTCTTTTCAAGCAGAGCTGCAAATGCAGCAGAATAACTGAGGTTCACTTCCTTGTTGTCCTCTGGCCTCTCTTATAGATTTGCTTATGAGCAGTGAGAGGCAAAAGATAGGAATCAAAAACAGGGGTTTTAGATAATCTCACAATTGCCTAACGAGTTTTTTTTTTTTTTTTCCCCATGAATCTCTCCAAAACTATCACATTTAGTTAGCCCTGAAGATCCTCAGTGAAAAGGGTGATAGGGCTCATCCTAGGCCGTGTCATCAGTCTGTAAAATGAAAAACCTAGAGGGGCTGGAGGTCAGTGGCTGTTTGCTGAACTAGGAGGTCTCTGGTACCCCCCTCCTGCTCCAGTGCTCTTGCCTGTTGCCTGTGAAGATGTTTGGACACCCCCGGATTCAACCTTAAGACATTTTTTTGTGGCACCTTTTGGGGAAGTGTCAGTGGTCAGTTAAACCTTTGTGTTTTGCTCAAAACTCATAGGAGCGTTGAGGATGTGTTTTGTTTCTTTTCTCCAAGAATTCATAGTCTTAGAAATGGTCTTGGAAGCTTTCCTTTGGTTTGGAGGACCTTTTCAAACAATGTATGGTATACACTGCCCCTTCTGTTTTCTGGAATAGAATGTGGTTATGGAGTCCATTTAATAGGGAGAAAAGAGGTGATTTAGGACATGGGAAGGGGGTGATGCTTAGCTTTTAAAAAGCAAAAGAGGCAGTTCAGAGTGGGGAATGGGGGTTTCTCTTGGTTGAAATCTAGTGAGTTGCCTTTCCTGTGACTCCGACTATTAGGTGTTACTGACACTTCACCATCTTTCAGCTTTTGGCTGAGTGCTGATCCATCCCCAGCGGTTTGTCAGACCTCACCACCTCAACTCAGTCCATCTACTCTGTCCACATTTCACCCTTTTGCTCCTTCCCACCCTGGAATATGCTCTTGCTGCTTTCTGTCTTTGAGTTGGTAACAGTAGCTGGCCAGAGTCCCAGGACCACTGCCACCTTTGCCCTCCCCCAGAAGCCCCGCCTCTGCCTGCAGTGGCAGCTGAGACCCGGTGAGCTGCTTTTGCATCCACACCTACTGTCTATTCCCTGTGCTGTTTCTGAGGCCAGGAGTCCAGGTCCGCATCCTTGCTTAGACACCGTAACAGGAGGCGCCTGTGGATGTCCTTGCACTTCGGGTTCCCTCCTCTAAATCGTTCTTTGCCCTGTTGCCCGGTATTCTCAAATAGTGTTACTCTTTGTTTTAAAGTTTACGTGGCTTCCTGTAGCTGGAGAATAAAATCCGGACTTATTTGCCTGCTTTAAACGTTGGCCCCGCCCCCCCTTTCTAGAGTGGTTCCTTTTTTTTGTTTTTTTTTAAAAAACCCCCCCCCCCCCCCCCCCCCCCCCCCCCCCCCGCCGCCCACCAGCAGTGAGGAGCAGTGGGCTCCTTATACTGGACCCTGTATTTCCTGAATGAGCTTTGTGCTTTTAATCTCTAGGCCTTTCTTTGCTCTTATACTCTGCTTGGCAGCCTGGTATCTGCTTTTTAAACTTCCTCCTTCAAGATCTAGCTTAGAGAGAAGCAGAATTAATTTCTTCTTTATTCATGTCTTTTCCATAGCACTTCATATACATAGACACCTTCACAGCAACAACACCTACCACATTTGTGTGTTTATTCTTTGCCTCTTCTGTTAGATTGAATTCCTGGAGGGTATTTCCTGTTCATCTCGGATCCCCAGCAGTGGAATAGTGCCCGACTTGTGGTAGGCACTAGATTTTAGCTTAAATTGACCTCTTCCCTGTCCTCTTGCTGTGATGACAGGGGTCTTTCTAACCAGACTATTGTTTGCCTGAGTCCCTCTAGCTAGGAGTGGTAGAGGGAAAGATAAGAATTATTGTAACATTGAGGCGCCTGGGTGACTCCTCTGTTAAGCACCCAGCTCTTGATTTTGGCTCAGGTCATGATCTCAGGGTCGTGAGAATGAGCCCCGCATGGGGCTCTGCGCTGGGTGTGGACTCTGCTTAAGATGCCCCCTCCCTGCCACACTCACTGTCTCAAAAAAAAAAAAAAAAAAAAACTGTCCATGCCCAGCACGCACAGCTGATCACTAGCTTCTGTCCAGGCCCATCAAATCAAGGATTTATTATTATCATTCTTGTTGCTGATTGGTAAAAGTCACGATCCGTTGTGAAATGAAATTGCAAATCTTTGCAAGATTTCATGAAGTCTGATGGAAGAAATGTTTGAGAGCTGTTAAAGTTTCACACATATCTGTTGATACATTACAATCCACAGACCCACTAACAGTTGAAAATTGATGGGGAAGGTGATACCCTGAGCTCTCCCAAGTAGAATCATTTAGGTATCAAAAAACCAAGAGAAGTCATTGAAAAGACTGGCCAAGTCCTTAAATATACCTGCACAATGATGCAATAAAAGTCAAATAGGGAGTGAGTTGTGGTTTATGGTGTCATCATTAAGTTTTTTGTTAGAATTATGCCAAAATTCCCTACTTAATTTCCTTTCTATGTACACAGTTGCATTTATAACCTAAATTATGTTATATATAATTTCTAGTTTCATTTTTTAAGATAAAGTTTCATTTACATTTTGTTTTTACTATTTACTGTGAAAATTTGGCCCCTTAAGTGGCCTTACTTTTTTATTTTGTTTATTTATTTGAGAGAGAGAGAAAGAGATAGAGCACAAGCAGGGGCAGAGGGAAAAGCAGGCTCCCCGTTGAGCAGGGAGCCCGATGTGGGGCTTGATCCCAGGACCCTGGGATCATGACCTGAGCTGAAGGCAGACGCTTGACTGACTGAGCCACCCAGGCGCCCCCCCCCCTTTTTTTTTAAAGATTTTATTTATTTGAGAGAGAGAATGAGAGATAGAGAGCACGGGAGGGAAGAGGGTCAGAGGGAGAAGCAGACCCCCTGCTGAGCAGGGAGCCAGATGCGGGACTCGATCCTGGGACTCCAGGATCATGACCCGAGCTGAAGGCAGTCGCCCAACCTACTGAGCCACCCAGGCGCGCCCTCCCTCCTCCCCTTTTTAAGATTTTATTTATTTATTTGAGAGAGGGAGTGAGAGCACTAACGGTGGGGAGGGGCAGAGGGAGAGGGAGAAGCAGGCTCCCCGCTGAGCAGGGAGCCCAGTGAACACAGGGCTTGATCCCAGAATCCTGGGATCATGACCTGAGCCGAAGGCAGACGCTTAACTGACTGAGCCACCCAGGCGCCCCAAGTGGCCTTACTTTTTTTTTTTTTTTTAAATTAATAGGGCATTAATGCCCCTCCCCACCATTAGTGCTCTCACTCCCTCTCTCAAATAAATAAATAAAATCTTAAAAAAGAGGGGAGGGGCGCCTGGGAGGCTTCTCCCTCTCCCTCTGCCTGCCGCTCCCCCTGCTTGTGCGCTCTCTCTCTCTCTCTCTCTCTCTCTGTCAAATAAACAAATAAAAATCTTAAAAATAATAAACTTGGGGCACCTGGCTGGCTCAGTCGGTGGAGCATGTGACTCTTGATCTCAGGGTCTTGAGTTCGAGCTCCACGTTAGTCATAGAGCTTACTTAGAAAAAATTAATAAACTTAATTTGTTTAGAGCAGTTTTAGTTTCACAGCCAAATTGAGCAGAAAGTACAGAGAGTTCCCATATACCCCATCCCCCCCAACACACACCAGAGTGGTACATTGGTGAACCTACACTAACATCATTATCACTCAACGTCCCTAATTTACACGAAGGTTCACTCTCAGTGTTGTACATTCAGTGGGTTTGGACAAATGTATGTCATGTATTTACTATTGTAGCATCCTGCAGAGTAGCTTCACTGCCCTAAAGGTCCTCTGCCTCTCTCTTTTCCCAACCCCTTTTCTCAAATGTCCTATGATTGGAAGCATAAAGTACATAGTCTTTTCAGATTGGCGTCTTTCCTTAACAGTATGCATTTAAGTCTCCTTCATATCTTTTCACGGCTTACCATATCATAATCGTATATTTCATTTTAGTACTGAATAATATTTCATTGTTCAGATGGACCACGGTTTATCCAATTACCTACTGAAGGACATCTTGGTTGCTTCCAAGCAATTATGAATAAAGCTGCTGTAAATAGCTATGTG